GTATTGTTCTATAACGTAAAGAAGAACGAATAATAACTACTAGTAGTTAGTTAGTACGTCATACACTTATTATGATAGTCGGTACACTAGGAAGGAATAAATGTGTCGTCCACCCAAAAAATGCAAAAGATTTGAGAGAGGGCCACAACACCAGAGATAGAACTTTCCCATTTCATAGCCTGGAGCTGGGTGGGAGGTAGCTGAGCTAAGTGTAAAACATGGTGAAAACATTTACAACCCAGCAGAAGACATATGCTAAATTAAAGACTAGATCCCTGAACTGCAGAACCTGATCTTTGTATACAAGACATAGCTAAAGGCAAGATAAATTCACTATGAAAATGTGAAGAAACGCCTCAGAAACTACAAACTTGGGCATCCACAGACCTGGTGAAGAATAACAACGTAGGGTGAGAAAGGACACCATTGTGGACTAGGGAGAAACAAAGAATGGGTTGAGATGAGAAAGAACAATGATCATCCACGAATCTCCTCTTGTCTCAGGCACAACAAATAAATAGGAATAAAATCCTGGAAGAACAGGATCAATTGAGAGTACCATCCCTATGACCAGTAACTCTGATAGCCATGAAACGAAAATCCACACCCCACTGGTCAGGAGGAGGTGGAAATACCACAGGGTGAGAGGTTAATGGAGGTAGAGAATGGAATAGGAAGACCAACCTCAATACCAGAACCCAAAATGCCCATGGATCTGCAGTGAAGGAATACCATGTGTCTATCAATAGTTGTAACCTCACTCTAACCTCACACACACACACACACACACATAGGCTGATACACAATGCCGTTGGCATTGTTCAGCCCAAACAAATGGAATGGCCCTGAAACTAAGATCTGAGTCTATTTAGCTGCTTGAGCGAAATAAGGGGTGAGAGATCAACAACAACAAAAAAAAAGTAAATGGGTGATGGCAAATTGCAATTGCAATACAAATGCCTCTGGGACACCCACGAACATGAAGTGAGGATAAAAGGAAGTCATATGTAAAACCCACAGGCTACAGCAAGTAAACAAAGTCCCTTCACCCAGAAGGAACAGTAGCAGGCAATCTGACCAGGGTAAAAAAAGTCAATAGGAGACCCCATTCATCTGCAAATTAATGTGTGGACCATTGATAGGGTGCCAACAATTTTCGGGGGAAGAAACATCACAGAGCAAGAGTGAGGAGCAAACAAATACAAAAAAATTTGGATTGGTTCAAGTAATCACATGAACCAACCTGGAACCCCATATATCCAAAATTAAATAATTTTGATCTGTGGAAGTGAAAAAATATGTTCCCTTGGAGGTGGAAAGCAAACAGAGAAATGAGGGTACAAGGTATATCCATTTCATCATCTAATATGGCCTGACCACTTTTTCATGACATGTATAGCTAAAACTTATGTACTAAAACTTGCTTCTATTTATTCAATACATTACGTTGTGTATATGTGGTATTTGTATTTAAAATGGCTCAAGATTCAATCTCATAGTATTAAATTTTCAAAACTTTTCTGGGGAAACATGCCAGCAGACCACCCTAGAAATTGCTTACCATGTGAATGGAATATTAAATATAGTCCATCCTAACAAATTAAAAGCCTAAATTATCTGTTTTTAACACTTCTCACTGGCAAAGATTAGTTTCAGTTACTGTTTTAATTTGAAGGTGAAGAATCTTAATTCAACTTTAAATTTTTAGATGAGGAGTTCATACTTCTTTTTTACTTGCAGACCGACCAGCTCCAAATACTCTTTTACTTTGAAACTGACCAGATCTACAAGTTTTTCAGTTTGACAGTTTGAGGGTTTTGAGAATTACCCATCATTTTGTAAATTAAACAAACGGGAGAGTGGTACATCAAAACAATTGATGTGATGCTGTGTAAAAACAGTAATGTACAGGTTCTGCACAATTAGAATGCAACAATATGTTTTTACCTATCATAGAGACTTTCACTATGTCTATAAGGTGGTTGAAATTTATAACGGACTGCTCCTGCCTTATTATTTGAACAATGTCTACACTACTTGAAGTTCCAATGAAACAAAGCAATAAGGATGGTTTAACTACCAATATATATAATAAAAATTATTAAATTCAGAATATTATTCTTGGTTTTATCAACTAATTTTTATGAAACCATCTGTTAATTGTACATTATGTAAAATCAAGAAGAAAATGCATATCACACTAAACTCTATGGTGTGCAATTCATTAAAACGTATTTTTTATAATTGGCACTATTTAGAATGAAGAATAGGAATAAGAGGTTTAATGATACATTTTTAATTTTTTTTAATGTTAGGCATATTCTTGGCATTTTGGTTTATAGATTTGAATTGTTTTGTAATACTGATGCATATAAATTAACATTTTAAAACCTTTTGTGCAATATACCTGCCAAACTGAATTAATTCTTACAAAACAAACTGAAACCAAAACTGTCTTATATTTGGATCTAATTCTGTTGACCAGTAATGTTTTTAATTTATGCACTACTGGCACTTATGTTTAAAATTTTTTAAATTATAATAAATAATTAAAAACAACATTTTATATTTACACAATAAAACTTTATTGAAGCCGTATGGCTTCCACTTTAAAATATCACTCTACAAGTACATGTTTCGACATGATCTACGTCATGCTCAGAAGTTTAACAAAAAATGCAAATTCGGTTAAAAATACCATATTAAAATCTGTTTATGAAGAAAACAAAAAAGAAACTCTAAGTTTACCTTACGTTCCAGGTTTAACAAGTCAATTATATAAAGTATTTAAAAAGTATCAGAATTTTTACCCTATCTTCAAACCAATAATAAGATAAAAGATATGATAGGAAATGCTAAAGATAGAATAGAATTAACAGATAAGACAGGGTATATACAACATAGAATGTGAATGTGGTAGTGTTTATATTGGTCAAATATATTTAAAATATAGATTGCAAGAACACAAAAGTTACACAAGAAATAATAAAATAAAAATTTCAGCTATAGCCGAACATGTAAAAACTACCCAACATGTAATATTATTGGAAAAAACTTCAGTTTTAGCTCAGCCTCGAAGTTTTATATCATTAAATATTAGAGAAAATTAGAAATAATTAAATATAAAAAACAAAAACAAGCATTAAATAGAGATGAAGGACCAGCAATTCAATACATTGATATATGACGAGACATTTTTTTCAATTACACTAAGGAAATATGTAAATAACAATGATATAATGCGACAAAGGGGAAAGTATAAAATAGTCTTGTAAGTTACTCCTGAGCATGACATATATCACGTCAAAACATGTACTTGTAGAGTGATATTTTAAAGTGGAAGTCGTATGGCTTCAATAAAGTTTTTAATTAACAAATTTTTAAAATTTAATTAAAAGTTTTTTAAAAATGTTTTTAATTCCCTGTTCTTTAGTGGCATTTACAAATTTTGAAATCTAATGAGTTGGAGAGGGGGGCAGAATCGACATGTTACTGTCTGATTGTGGTTTGTAGTAACCTAAAACATTACACATTTGATTGTTTGTAATTAAGCACAAAGCTACACAATGGGCTATCTATGCTCTGCCCACCACAGGTATTGAAACCCAGATTCTAACATTGTAAGTCTGCAGACATAGCACTGTGCCACTGGGGGGCTTACGCATTTGAAGACATGTATTAAATTCAGCCTGATGTGTTACTTTCCATAGCAGGACTTTGTTCACTGTTCTATGAAATAGCTGTGTTGTATCCTACTTCACCCTATGTGTAGAAGATTGCTTTATGACTCTCAAGTGGAGCAAGATACTTACAACATTTTTCAGTCTGCTGATCTGCTACTTTACCTTTAGTTTCTCTTTACTTTACAATGCAATACTCTACAGCTATTCAATCAGTGTTTTATTTTTATTCCAACTTTAGCATCATGTCTTTTCTCCTTCATTCCACATATAACAAATCATTACCCATGTCCTTATATATATACTATGTGCTTAAATCTCTATTTGTTGTAAAAATCAACCAACACTGTACTAGGTTGAACCTTCAAATTACCATAATCATTAGTCTTGCTTTGCATCCAAAAATTGCACATGCCGTAAAGTTAAAGAGGTAACAGATATCAAAACTGACCTCTATGGTATCATATCCTTTTTCTAGGTAATTTCCAGCTTTGTTCAGTTCCCCAATTGAAGCATAGTATTTAGCCCACCAGTCAATTGTTTCATCTTCTTCTGCATGCTATAAACCAACATTTACAATTACAAAAAAAAAAGTTACTGTACTGATTAAGTAACCACAATTACTTTTCATGCAGATATATTTAATCATAATGCTTTTGTTCTATACTGTATATATGCAAACACATACAGGCAAATATGCTAAAATTTATAAAGTCATTCTCTAATTTTTATGAAATAAAATTTTAACTTATAAAAATTTAAACTTATTCATTTTACACAGTGGAATAAAAATGAATAAAACATTTAAAGAAATTGATTATTATATTAAAAATTTTCCTACATCATATATATGTATAACAATCAATTCCAAATAAATACCTATCAAAGAAACAACTTTCAAACAATGAGAAAAAACAAACACGATTTAACCCCAAAACAGTAATAAGTCCATAATGACTTAATTCAAGAAATGTTACTCAACTGATAATTAGATGACAATTTAATAACAAACACTTTTTGCTGCTACTGTTACATGTGTGGATGTATATGTATTACACACATAAACATATATGTGTAACATATAAAGAAAGTTATATATATGTGATTATAGATGTATGTAGATTTTCCAGATAGCTGTACAGAGAAAGCTCTTAAGAAATGTTAGCATTACAATATTAATTTGTTGAAGAGCAGAATTTGATATTTTGGGTATACTTGATTTTATTAATTTATAACTGACTCTAAAACATTGTTTGTACAAATGTTCAGTTTTTTAATTTTTTTATTTATACTTTCTTCATAAACAACCTTCTACTCTAACATGTATATTCCTAATAACTACATTTATAATTTTTTTCTGAAATTAGTGGTCTTTTAATCAAATCAACTATGTTATTAACAAGAAAAAAACAAGTTAACAGTTAATAATTCTGAGTAAACTAAAATCATTCCTCACATTATCTTGTCCTATTCCTCTGTCATCCTCCAGGATGTCCACAGCTGTCTCAGGTGGACCTGTAAATTAATTTGCATAAGCTGATTGACAAATTATGAAATATCTATGCTCGAATTTAATAAAAATACTTATATATAGAAGGAAATTAAAAGAAAATAAATCATAATAAATATTCTTGGGTAAACTGAAATAGATCATATCATTTCATAGTGCACAATATTGTGTATTTAAGGATTTTTCTAAACTGAAATATTCTACAACTCTTGAAATATTCATATTATCATGCAACAATAATTATACATAAGTTCTATAGCTATCAAAAATTATCAATTACTGAAGCAATTGAATATTTTTGAGGAAATTTTGCAATTGCTTCAGTATATTTAATAGTTGAAAAGAGTTAAAAATAAAGTTATTAACATTTTTCTGAGTTTTTGAGTGAACATATACATGGAGAAATGGCATGATTAAGAATGTTAGTATTACAAAATAATCAGCGGCATTGGAAAGCACATAGAGATATTGCCTGGAAATGAAGTAAGTGCATGAACACTCATGACAGGTTGTGATGGATTACTGATGCTAACTCGTTAGCACTGTAGAAGCTAAGAAAAAGTTGAAGTTAACAAGCAAAAGTGGTAGTTTGATGTCAATATTCCTTACAAGACGCTAGTGTATTGGTACCAGTAGAGAGGGAACCAACTAACTCACCATAACAGTAACCAATCACTTGAGAGTTTTGGTTATGGTTCTGGATTAGCCTGGGAAATTGCACAGATCAACCAATAAAGTGATAGAACTACTTGCGGGTTCTGGATACTATTAGAAGATCGAGAGAATACTGAGAATATATGGTTCAAAAGCCCCTGTCTGAAACCAAAAAGTCAGTCTCCTTCGAGAGTACAGGATTCCTCTGAAGTTCTCAAATTATTCGTAAACATGACTCTGGAAGTCTCGAAACCCCAAAAGTTTACCAATCTTACTCTGATGTAAGTATAAATTTATAGTTTCTCTTAATCAGTTAATGTAAGTAATATTAAAAGGATATCCATGTTACACTAAAGAAGTGTACTTGTTATGTATTAAAGAATAATTACCGATTAACGTTTATTATAAAGTTTATAAGAAGTTAATGAAATTGTGATATTGGATATTATATGAAAATGTCTAATAAATGTTATTATAATATAATCATTGTTGGTCTGGAACTCTGATTCTTTATTCTAACTGTAAATTACTTCGAGTTAGCAATTTCTGTGCTCCACTCGCCACTACAAATCCTCCATTAAATAAATTTGGTGTGACTGGCAGTATAACTGAAACTCCAACAATTTTACCCTAAGGGTGCTGCCCATTACATTACCATAGATAGAAAAGTATATATCTAGCTGAACAAGTACTTCCTTAAGTTAAATTATTAATTTCAATTGGGTGAATGGAATTGATTGTACCTCCATCACTTCTAATCTCTTCATCATTATAATAAACTGCATCATAAAGGAAGGAATGAAGACTCCTTACAACATGGGTTCCTACAATGGGTTTACGGCCAAAGCGTCGATGATCTCTTACTTTGATGTGTAGTGGAGGCAAATAAAGCTCTTCCTGAGGTAGCATCTGAAAAAAATTAATTAAAATGAAAAGCTAATACATTTTCAATATTAACAAAGTTAAATCAACCTGAAAGAAATATCTTTCTGATTTATGCACATTTTTATATGACAAAAAAAATCCATATTTTTTTTAACATTCAATTCACAAGTAATGGGGAAAGTTTCACTTAAAAATATGTCATAATTGTCAGATATCTAACTTTAGCATTTAGATAACATTTCAAAGAAACTGCAAGTCCAATCTGAACATGTCATTGTGTTTTTAAATCCATAAATACTTCAGACAATATGACATTTTAAAAGTGATGTCTACTGGAAAATGAACATGTCATTTTATAGTCAACATCATGATATTCAACAAGTAAAACAACAGTTATTAAGCACTAATATAACCTAATTTTACAAAGCAAGCACATTTGAAAGTGTATTTGTCATCAAATATTGAGACTTTATAGCACATATTTCTGATTTAATTTGCTGATAAGCAGCAAAATATCATATCATATTGTTGCGTCAGCAGTCACATGACCGCCGTGACGCAACGTTTCTAGAACTATCATGTACTTTGTCGAATGTTCA